ACACACACACACACACACAGATCATGGACGGATTATGACACAACAGGTCCCTGGACAAAGACGTGTAAAAGGCCCCAAACTGAGAGACACAGAAACGTGTCGTCAGTCGGATTCACTTTCCTTCACTTCAAACGGGCGGTCTGACACCAGGGGCCTCCAGCCAACAGTTGGGGCCCTGGAGACAGATTTTCTGTCCAAGAGCCAGTTCTTTAGAAACATGAAGAACCAGCCCTGGAACTGCCTCAGAGGAAACGGCATATTTAAGGGCCCGTCCTCCTCTGAGCCACAGAGACTCTTTGAAATAAAAGTTCTGAAAATAGAACCGGGTTCAGGAAACATTTTATTTACAACATTTAACAGACAATCAGCTGCTTCTGTGTTTTTATGTTGATGAGACTAAAAGATCCGACAGAAGTTGACGGATCGGAGCATTTCACAGGAAAAGAAAAAAAAGGTTTCTGATGCTGAGGTGTTTCCCTGCGTTGTCACGGCGACCACTCATCAAACAGGACGCAGCGGTTTCAGACGTAGGCTTTAGAGCTGCTGGTGTCGGAGGCCGGGGCCGCTCGGTAGATGCTCTGTCCTCCACTCGTCTTGGAGAAGTTGTATGAAAAGTGTCTGCAGGAGAAAACATGGTGTTGATGAAGTGAGACTGAAAGACACAAAACAAAAACTCCTCAACAACGTTTGGACGAACGCTGAGAATCTGCAGAAACATCATCAACAACTCAAGTGTTCAACTGTTCGAACTCAGGACGTTAGACACAATAACAACACGTGGACACAGACACAACATGGACCGACGACCCGGTCAGTGTCATGGCCGCCCTGCAGGTCCGAGGTGCTCGGACCGGTTCCATCACAGTCCAGTTTTCTCTGTGGTGGAGGACGGTGGTTCGTTAGGCTGATGGTGCCCCCGAGTGGACAGAGCGCAGAACAGCTCCTGTGTGGTGCAGTGAATTTACCCTGTGGGGGGGGCAGACGACGTCCTCTTGCAGGAGCAGCAGAGCAGCGATCCTCCGAGGACGGCGAGAGAGGACGCGGCCCAGCCCAGATACAAACCAGTGCCCAGCTCGAACCTGCAGCATGGACATGACTCTTCACCTTCATCATCATCATCATCATCATCATCTTCAATATCAATAATAATGTAATATTAGTGTTATGTTGGGTCAGGGGCTAGGGATGCATTATGTCTTTGAGTGTCCTCACAACTGTAGAGAGACACGCGTGTGTCTCACCTGACTCCTCCGTACAGCGGGTCGTAGAAGTCGTGGATGACTCTGGCTGCGTACCACGACACAGCGATCAGAGTGAAGACGCCTGAGGAACAACAGTCAGACTGAGTGAAGACGGAAGATCAGAGGTTACATCTGAAGGATTCTGGGAAATGTGTGAGGTAATTCATTTGGTTGCAATCTGAAACGTCACCACTAGATGTCACTGAATCTGCCCGCTGAACCTTACAAAAGTGTGTGTGTGTGTGTATGTGTGTGTGTGTGTGTGTGTGTGTGTGTGT